TGTACTATGCGTTTCTGCATGGGCATGCGTTTCTGCATGGGCCGAGACGCATATGCGTTTCAAGTGTTACAGTGTAATGGCGGACATGCAGGGCCTAGCTGTGAATGGCGTGAAGCGCATATGCGTTAGACAGGACACAAATGTGTTTCAACGGATGTGCGTTTTCTGACAACTTTTAATAAAGGTTTGTGAAATGATCCATCGCCACAAAACTTTAAAAACATATTTAGACTTGTAAGTTAGAAAACAGCAACTAGTTAATATAAAGCTAAGAATATGTGATATAATCATGCGTTATACGAATAAAATTATGCAGATTTACACAAAGAGCTTCCTCCAAAATGATTCCCATAATTCAAAGCCAACGATATAAAATTAGTTGCTGATTTACGACTATTCTTTTGGCTAAAGAACCAGATAAACTTGTTACACAGGTCAAGGAATCAAATTCTGGGCAATTTTGAATAAATCACAGATAGTATAGAATTCCTACCATTCTGATAAAAAAAGTAAACCAGTAAAAGTTTATTTACATCCTCCACATCTCTATTTTCAGTAATATATTAAGGTTTGCAAATAAATAAGGCTGAAGATGCTTACCAATCACTTACAAAAATATAAAATTTACTATTAAAAACATAAAATTAGTGAAATACTTGTTACAATAAAAAAACCAAAATTTGAATAAAATATCTTACACTATCTGCTTTTGCAAGCTTTGCATTTATGGGCTTTTATAAATATATATTTTGAATATCTAAAGGGAGTCTGAGTTTTTCAACTCTGGTTATAGTGTTTCTCGTACTTTTTCCTACAAAAATAATGGTTTGATATTGATTCCAAGGCAAGTTGACAATTGTAGTTCATCAAGAGACGTTAGATTGTGAGGAATTTTTTCCACCAAAGCTAGCTTTATGAAGCTAGAACATAGATGTGATATTGGTTTGTAGACCTCTACCAAAAGCAAATACAGGTTCATTTGATGAAGGCTTAAAGAGCTATCAGTTTCAAATAATTTTTCAAATATAGAAGCATCACAAATATATGCTATTATAAGCCCCTCTCTTAAATTCACTTTATCTTATTGTTCAAATTTTCTTTCTCGAAACACCAAAATCAGCAGGCAATAGCCAATCTGAGACATCAACGGTTTTAGTTTCACAGGCTCCATGAAAATTGAAATACGAGTTGAAGCATGACTAGATGTTTTACAGAACAGTTGGACATGTTTTTAAAGCTCGATTTCTTATTCAGATTGATGCCTTATTGCTTCTTCTCATCACCGAGGGTGTCTCGATCGAAGGATGTAGGGTTTGGGTTGTCACAGCCCCGCAATAGTAGTTTTATAGGAATTTTCAGGGAAAATCAGTTCAATGGAAGAAAGATTGTAAGTAGTTCAGAGCCCCTACGTCTTCAGAGATCAATAAAGAATCTGAAGCAATGATTGTTACTCCGTTGGTTAATATGATATTCAGGGACAGATTTACCAGGACGGGGCTGTAGGGGGTGCGCCACCCCTCAATATTTTTGTGTCCTTTGGTAAATTTTGTTTTGATTCGGTTGAAAATATTTTTGGTGGTTAGTAGCTAAAAAATAATTGAACAATTTACTTTTTTTATTTCCTAAACTTCTTCACCTTGAAGCGAGAAGTTTAATTTCTAAAATGGGCCTTTCCATCATTTTCCAGTTACCTGAAAGGTGTGGCACCAATATCCAATCAAACACCCCCCAATCATTGCCGCTGAAATCCGTCCCTAATGATATTCCCGCGAAGGTTTTGAGATTTCTTGTTGGTACTAAATCGGAAAAACCAGGCCTTCTTCAAGTAATTTCGAAATTTCCTTACTGCAGGAATTTTTTTCACTCAGGAAGTTTCGTAAGCAACACCCCCCTCCCCCCTTTCCTAACAAGGCCTGTCTCGCCACGGCTCTATTAATCACTTTTCTATTTTGGCCTCTCCCAGTGGCAGCTTTTTAAATCGATTTGGGGGCACTACTTTTCCAAGTACCATTAATACTCGATTTGGCCCGGGGAGGAGGGCGGTTCTTGTAATTGGAAATGTTTCTGTAATGGGCTAAAGCAAATTTGCTTTTTTGAAAATTTTGTAGCGCTGCCTGAAAAAAATCAAAATTGTAAAAGCTATGAATTGAAAAGTGACTGTTTGCATCGTCTTTAAAACAAAAATAATATCATCAAAACAGATCTTTTTTAATACATGATTTATCACTGGCTAAAATCATGTACATTATTCAACGATAAGCCTCAAGTGGGGCTTAACAACATGGGAACTGATTTGTCGGGGGCTTATACAGGAGGGACCCATTGGTGGCCTCTTTCTATTCTCTGCTGCATCGCACTTGCCTCTTACAGAGAGAAAAACAACAGAAATTATGACATTTCCAAATGAATGAAGCATTCTCGCAATAACTTTCTTACGCAATAAAACAGAGCGCCTAAAAACCAATATGGGTTTTTTAATCATTCATTATCTAAACGATAAAAATTGCTTCTAGTAAGTTAGTTTAATCTTAAGACTTTTTTTAAGGATAGATCTTTTTTATAAGAATTTGATTTTAATGCGGGTTCCAGTTTTGGAAATATGATCGTGAATGAAGAAAGGGCTAACTGTTTTAACACCTTGACTATGTTTGTTGATTCCCAAATGCTCTCTACATCGAATCATGAGATTTCGAGATGTTTTGCCATAATAAATGGCGCTGCAGCCACTACAAGTAAACTTGTAAATAACGTTAGAGCACAAAAGTGGAGTGTCGCGGTCTTTAAAGATGAATGAATTAGAGATTGGTTTAGATGATCTGAATACGAATTAATAAGTTAATCCGTGTCTTTCTCGACATACAGTTTAAACCTACTACTAAAACCTCTGACCTTGACAGTAATAAACAGCTTCTCTTGTTCCTTTTACCATTTTAAAGAAACTATAGCCTCGGCATTAAGAAAAACATTACTACGCTCATGAAGAAATGCTTCCCTGATGTTCAGCTGAAATTCTCTGAAACTCTTAATGAATTTTTAATAGTAAATTTAATAGAAAACCTTTATGAAAAGCACTCTTCAGTTATTCAAGTTGTCCTCTCTCAGTATCTTATTATTATCAATAACCGAAAAGAGAACAGAACATTTTACCAGTTTAACCACAATTTAAACCAGCAGAAACATCACTAATCGTTGAGTCTAAGCCGTTAAGAAATATCAAGACATACAACATTTAGTGTTTGAAAGGGCATGGTTTTTATAATTTTTCCAAGGTTTTTTATAATTTTTTATAATTTCTCGTTGGCCCCTCATTTAAATATCCCATCGACATTATCCCTATCAAGTCTTGCAAGTGTCCTTTAGGACGAACAAGAAGAGATGGTTCGTAAACTTTACATGCCCCATGCAGAAACGCATAACACTGAAATTTTCTATGCGTTTCTGCATGGGCCTAAGGCAAACTACAAAAAATGATAAAAATTCAAAAATGCTATTTGCATGGAAAAGTTTGACCTATATCAGATTGTTGCAATCATTTCTTGCTAGTAAACATTAATTTGCGATGAAATTCGATGTTGTTTTGATTTTAGATGCCCCATGCAGAAACGCATAACACTGAAATTTTCTATGCGTTTCTGCATGGGCCTAAGGCAAACTATAAAAAATGATAAAAATTCAAAAATGCTATTTGCATGGAAAAGTTTGACCTATATCAGATTGTTGCAATCATTTCTTGCTAGTAAACATTAATTTGCGATGAAATTCGATGGTGTTTTGATTTTAGATGCCCCATGCAGAAATGCATAACACTGAAATTTTCTATGCGTTTCTGCATGGGCCTAAGGCAAACTACAAAAAATGATAACAATTCAAAAATGCTATTTGCATGGAAAAGTTTGACCTATATCAGATCGTGCAATCATTTCTTGCTAGTAAACATTAATTTGCGATGAAATTCGATGTTGTTTTGATTTTAGATGCCCCATGCAGAAACGCATAACACTGAAATTTTCTATGCGTTTCTGCATGGGCCTAAGGCAAACTACAAAAAATGATAAAAATTCAAAAATGCTATTTGCATGGAAAAGTTTGACCTATATCAGATTGTTGCAATCATTTCTTGATAGTAAACATTAATTTGCG